AGGGGAAACAGGTAAACTTTGAGAGCAAACATATTTCACAATTCTCATCAGGTGGCTGTCCGTTCAGCTTCAGACCCTTAACGGCTCCATCTTTCTCCAACTGCTTCAACAAGGGCATTGCCACATGCCCCAAGCGTCGGTGTGCCGTTGCCCAATCCGTCTCCCCAGATCTGGCCGACACTTTCACACCAACCCCTCCAACGGCGTTGCACTCCCCCTGGGATGCAGACCCCTCTCCAGCCTGCCCCCCACCATGCCACGCCAACGCCGGCAGCTGCCACATGGATCTGTACACGTCCGTACTCTCGTGCAGATCCCAAAGCACCCGATTGCCCAGCTGCCCCTTGTAAGTGCGTGCCCCATCCGTGCTAGTGCTCACCCCAGACTTGCCAAGCTTATGGAGGGAGATGAGGTTGGCCTTGAGTTCAGGAACAAGGAGAACGTCGTGCAGCACCACCGGCTTGCCATCCGCTCCCTTAAACGCAGCTCGTCCCGCACCAGCCACCTTCAGCGCGTGTCCAGAGGCGGAGCACACCTCGTTGATCGGTGCAGCTCGTACGTGGTCCAGCAGGTCTTTTCGCGGCGTCATCGTCCAAGCAGCGCCCGTGTCCAACACCCAATAATCCAGGGGGTGCAGCTCTGCTCCAACCTTGGCAGAGGCGTCTCCTTGCTCCCCCTGCTCCCCCTTCTCTCCAATATGGAAGAACTGGCCCGCGGTGCGCTCCTTCTTCTTTTCCGCACCGCCGTTGCTCTTCGGGTTGTTGTTGGACGAATCGGCAACCATGCTCGCGCCGTTTTTCTGGTTCCTCCGCGCGCCGCCATCCTGGTGTCCGACTCCCTTCGTGCTGCCAGTCCTACTGTCACGCGTCTCCTTGCTACTGTTGTCACTGACCCTTCTTTCGAGTCTACTGCTGCGTCTGCTCTCGTTACTGAGCTCGTCGACTTTGCTGCTCGCTGTCGCTTAGACTACGCTGCTAGTCTTGTCGCTGAGTCTGAGTCTGTCTGTCCTCCGTCCGTCGGGGGTGAGTGTGCCCTTGGCACGGACGTCCTTGAGGACAGGCAGGAGGAGTTCCAGTGTCTGGCAGCTGCCTCACCTCATCTCGTGTCCGTACTGCTTACCCCTGAGGGAGACCCGGATGCACTTGACATCCCGACTCCGCGCTCTTACGCGGAGGCGATAGAGAGTCCCTACTCCTCTCAGTGGCAGGCAGCTATGGATGCAGAGATGGCTTCCTGGAAGTCCACAGGCACCTACGTTGACGCTGTCCCCCCTCCTGGGGCGAACATCGTCAGTGGCATGTGGATCTTCAGGGTGAAGCGGCCGCCGGGTTCTCCGCCTGTCTTCAAGGCGCGTTACGTGGCTCGTGGCTTCAGTCAGCGGCAGGGAGTTGACTACTTTCAGACCTTCTCCCCCACCCCGAAGATGACCACTCTTCGGGTACTGCTGCACGTTGCTGCTCACCGTGACTACGAGCTGCACTCTCTTGACTTCAGCACAGCTTTCTTGCAGGGCAGCCTGCACGAGGAGATCTGGCTGCGTCGCCCACCTGGCTTCACTGGGTCTTTCCCTCCTGGTACCCAGTGGAGTCTCCGGCGTCCAGTCTACGGTCTCCGCCAGGCGCCACGTGAGTGGCACGACACACTGAGGACTACGCTTGCGGCTCTTGGGTTTGCTCCTTCTACTGCCGACCCGTCGCTGTTTCTACGCACCGACACCTCTCTGCCGCCGTTCTACATCCTCGTGTACGTCGACGACTTGGTCTTTGCCACAGCTGACACTGCTGGACTCGCCTACGTGAAGTCCGAGCTGCAGAAGAGACACACGTGCACAGACCTGGGTGAACTGCGCAGCTACCTTGGCTTGCAGATCACCCGGGACAGAGCACGCCGCACCATTACCCTGACTCAGTCACACATGGTGCAGCAGGTCCTTCAGCGCTTCGGCTTCACGTACTCCTCGCCTCAGGCCACTCCTCTGTCTACTCGCCACTCGCTCTCAGCTCTGCCTTCGGATGAGTCCGTAGAGTCGAGTGGCCCGTACCCAGAGCTTGTTGGCTGCCTCATGTACCTGATGACCTGCACACGACCTGACCTTGCATACCCTCTTAGCATTCTTGCACGCTATGTTGCTCCTGGGAGACACAGACCAGAGCACATGGCTGCAGCGAAGAGGGTGTTGCGCTACTTGTGCAGTACGTCGGGCATGGGGCTAGTGCTTGGAGGGCGGAATCCAGTGGTCCTCACTGGGCACGCGGACGCTTCTTGGGCTGACGACCAGGCTACGCAGCGGTCGTCACAGGGTTACACCTTCAGCCTTGGTTCCGGCTCTGTTTCGTGGCGGGCTACTCGCTCGTCTTCTGTTCTTGGCTCGAGTTGTGAGGCTGAGATCTACGCCGGGGCCATGGCTGCACAGGAGCTTCGCTGGCTCACCTACCTGCTGACCGACCTTGGAGAGCCGCCTCGTTCTCCTCCAGTCCTGTACGTAGACAACAAGGCCATGCTGGCCTTGTGTCGAGAGCAGCGACTGGAGCACAGAACAAAGCACATTGCTCTCCGCTACTTCCTTGCTCGTGAGCTACAGCAACGTGGACAGTTGCGGCTTGCATACGTGGCCTCTGAGGCCAACACTGCTGATGTCTTCACCAAGGCACTTCCGCCTTGTGATCATCAGCGCTTCTACACTCAGCTGGGTCTTGTGCCCGTCTTGCCTCACTTGCTCTCCTCTTGACCTTGCTTGTACTCTCACATATATATATACCTGCTCTTGCTTGTCTAGCTTTATATATATGTGTATACTCTTGCATGTGAACTGGCCGTGTGGCCTTGACCCTGTGCTCGGACTGTGTGGTGACTTTGTGATCCACCCTGAGCTTGCTTTACTTTGCTTTGCTTGACTGGTCTTGTGACCCCTTGTTCTCCCCCACTTTGCCTATGGGGGTGTGTCAGACAATTGTAGCTTATGCTGTTGTGTAGGCTATAGTGGGGTATCCCATAGGGGGTACAACCAATTAGGGTTTCATATTTGTACTCACTTCATTTCATAGTTCATTCATTCTTGTTCAAATCTTCTCACAAGCGTGCGGGAAGCGAACTCGGGTGTGCGGTAAGCGAACTCAGGTGTGCGGGGAGGGGGGCCGCAGGGCGACACGCGGGTCCACGAAGCGGCGCACTGGTCCCACGGGGTGGCGCGACGGTCGACGGGGGGGACGCGCGGTTCTCCGGGGGCGGTGCGACGGTCGACAAGGAGGGACGCGCGGGTCCCCGGGGTGACACGACGGTCGACGGGGAGGGACCCGCGGGTCCTCGTGGTGACGCGTGAGGCAGAAAACCGCCGCGCGCCCCGAGCGCGCGGCGGGCAGAAAACCGCCATGCGCCCCGAGCACGTGACGGGAAGAAAATAAACGTCGCACGCCACGGGGCGCGCGACAGACAGGATAGCAGCGGAAGCAGGTGGGCCCACAGGCCAGGAGCGTACTTGCTCTGATACCATGTCAAAATAGTAGCTAGAACAAGGAGCCATAGCTAGGGTTTACCTAGCTAGGCAAAAGAGAATTAGGCAAAGGAGGAGGTTCACTAGCAGCAGTTGGGATACATATAGCAAACCCTAACTGGGTTGTACCAGCTATAGAGCACCCCACTACAGGCTAGATAATAACATTCTGACAGTTCTTCGGGAGGCATCAACCCTAAACACCATGCGACAAGGTGTTTAGGGTTGATGCATCCCGAATTAAATCCCATTTAAAGGGGTTTTAGTTTTTTTGGTCTTGGGAACAGAAATTACCTTACGTCTAAAAGTGATATTCTTAAGGACATTATGCATCAATCGAACAGTGTACAATCGCGTAATTGCGAGAAGGTGTCCAGAAACGCTCAAGTTGCTGAGTCCAACAGACACGCGTAATCATTGTATGCATATCACACAGAATCTACCACACACAACCCTACGAAATTTGAGAAACCCAAAAGCAGTAGCAATACTTGCGACAGAGTGACCAGTTCGTGTTTGCAAGTGTAGAAAAAGGATGGGTCGATCGGATTTATGGAATTCTAATTTGTGCTGACGTGGTGCACGAGTGGTCGACAGTGTTGACACAAATTCAAAAACCGGCGAGTCGCGCAATAAAGCCCACGTCACTGTTTTTCTCGCCAAACTGGAAAGAAGACGAAAAAAAATAAACCCTGATTTCAATTCGCCAACCCTGACAACTCAGACTTACAATTTCGTGAACCGTGAACATCGCAAGAAGGCTCAGGCTTGGCGTTTTGCGGAAAATGTGCCTTCATGGTAATTTTTTTTTTGGGCGATTGAAAACAGGGTAGCCGTATTTGAATCGTCAGCCCTGCTCGTACAACCCTCCGGGAACTGCGTATCATTTAGAGACCCTGTCCGATGGCCAGGATTTGGCTGCACAACACCGACAGTAGAGAAATTATGACAGGTTGAATAATCGGGCAGCTGAAAACATATCAACCTCCACTCTCGTTACTTGCAATTATGTGTTCTCTCCGTTCCATTAATCGGAAAGAAGACAAACATGTATTTCTATAATTTGAAAGGGTACATATTTCATGATCTATATTGTCTCAAATTTATTGAATCAATAATTCTGGTAGACATACTTCTATTGTAGCATACCGCGAATGGTCAAGGGAATATAACACAAGATATATTGTGGTTTGGATTTCAGTCCTGTAATTTCGTTTCTTATTGTGTACATGGAAGCAAACCTCCTTTCCTGCCAAGGTTTATCCTACATGCTGCAACGTGGCAAGCTCACGCCCCTCCTTCCAGATGCTCCTGCCACTTCACTCGACTACCGAAGGCATTGCAGATTCCACAGTTCACATCTCGCCAAACTGCCTTCACACTCCCGAACATCGCATTCGGTTTTGAGAAAACCGAGCAGTTTCATCGCAACTCGTGAGTGCCTAACAGCCACGCGCGTCCGTCTGGTACTCCGATCAGCCCTCGTCGCTCTTCCGCCTAAATATCATAAATGGCCGTCGCGGTCACAAGCGCCTCGCTGCGCGCCGCCCTGACCGCGCGACTTCCGCGTGTTGCCGCCTCCGCATCTCTGCAGTCCGCCTCGCTGCAGTCCTCATCCGCCAGCTTGCTTCCGCGCGCGTCACGAAAATCGGATGGAAGCAGGCGGGCCTCGCATACCGTGTCGGCTAGCGCTGCCGCTGAGGGATCAGCTGATAGCGCCGTGGCTGTAGCTGCTGCTGCTTCAGATGTAGCCGCTCCTACGGCCACCGGTCCTGGTAGGTTAATCACGGCGGCAGTTTTGTATCGGAATGGCGACGAGCTACGCTCGTGGTGCGCGTGTGCAATCACCCCGAGGCACACAGCTCGTAACGCGAGTCTCCATTGTTTCGCTGCTTCAATCCCCTTCCCACATGTTTGCACATTGGCGGAGTCCCTAGAGCTGCGCGTGGGGCGCATCGTGAGGGCGTGGAAGGTCCCCGAGGCGGACAGCGTGTGCAACGATTCTCCTTCGTTTCTCTCAACCCTCGCATGCCCGTGGCAGATGTGTGCAGCCTCGCCGAGGCCCTGGAGCTGCGCGTGGGGCGGGTGGTGCGGGCGTGGAAGCACCCCGAGGCGGACAGCCTGTACGTGGAGGAGGTGGACGTGGGCGAGGAGGGCGGCCCGCGCACCATCTGCAGCGGCCTCGTCAAATACATTCCCGAGGCCGACATGCAGGTGAGGCGGACATGCAGGTGAGGCGGACATGCAGGTGAGGCGCACATGCAGGTGAGGCGGACATGCAGGTGAGGCCGTGTAGGTGAGTGGTTCGCGATAGGATGGCAGTCGGGTGGTAGGTATGATGAACCGATTGAATGAATCACAAAGAGGACATGAAAGTGCCCTGACGCAGCGAACGCCTAGTTTACCCCGAGGGGAACAACATGAGGGTCGTCATCCCCATCAAACAATCCTGTCTTCCACCCTTTTTCCCCTCTCTTCCCACCCCACCTCTCCCTTCGTTTCCGCCCGTTTCAGGATTGTCTGGTGGTGTTGGCAGTGTGACGCCATGCAACACAAGGGCCGTCAAGTTCAAACACCAACTCATCCTCTCCTTCCCCCTCTCCTCCTTCCTCCACCCAACCCCTCCCCATTCCCCCCTCCACCCCCCAGGATTGTCTGGTGGTGGTGCTGGCGAGCGTGAAGTCGGGCAGCGTCAGATCCAAATGCAACCTCACCCTCTTCCTCTCTCTTCCTCTCCTTCCCCCAACCCGCCACGTTCCACCCCATCCCCCCACCTTCTCCCCTCCCCCCCGCCCCCTTTGTTCTCCCAGGATCGGCTGGTGGTGGTGCTGGCGAACTTAAAGCCGCGCAACATGAGGGGCGTCAAGTCCAACGGCATGCTGCTCGCTGCCTCCGATGACGCCCACGAGAACGTCCAGCTCCTCTCGCCGCCCGCCGAAGCTGCGCCGGGCGAGCGCATCTGGTTCGGCGCCGAGGCTGACGTTGCCTCGCAAGCTGCTGCTGCCACTCCAAACCAGGTGTGTAGAAAGCGGAGACATGGAACGGTTGCTGAGGTAGGAAGGGGTTGTGGTCAGTGGTAGAGAAAGGGGGTTGTTGCCAGTGGTAGAGCGTGGAGGTTGGGAACGCATAATTTCCCTTACATGGCGTTTATCGCCTGGCTCACTCTTTGCCCCCAACTCCAACTGGTTGCCATTGCCTCCTCGTGTTTCACTTCTGCTCTTTGTCAGCGTCGTCTCATCATTGCCATCAGTGTCGTCTCATCATCGCCATCAGTGCAATCAGTATCAGTGGCCCCCCATGAGGCATTTGATCGTCACGTTATTGGAGGCTTCCATCTCCCTTTGCTGCCATCGTGTTTCCCTGGCAGCTGCAGAAGAAGAAGATATGGGAGGCTGTGCAGCCACAGCTCAAGACCACAGAGGATTGCGTTGCTACACTTCTGGACAAACCAATGCGGGTGGCAAGCGGTGTCATCACATGCAAGTCCCTGGCTAAGGCAAACATTGGCTGACTCTGCTGCATAATAACATAGTAGCAAATGCCAACCAAATGGCACATCTGCCGAGCATCTAGATTTTAAATACAGATGCTCATGTTCGCCAAGCGAATTGATTGTCCATTTCTCAAAGTAGGAATGCAACGGAATGTCTGAATTAGGGTTGGGAAGGATACAAATAGGAAACCTACCAAAGCTGTACTCAGTAGAGAGTACCTCATTGCAGCCCAGGGCCTCAGATTGGTTTTTGTGTACCCTGAGCACTCAGTGTCCCTAGGAGGGTAACACCAGGGCTGACTTTATCAGACTAAAATAGTCTGATTGTCTGAACTCTCAGGGTATTTTCCTACGGATCCTGATTTTTCAGACTTGTAAGATTTTCAAACATGAGTGCCTCAGACTTACTTGGTTTTGGATCCTGAGATTTTCAGAGTACTGACTTAGCCGATAATGGGTCTTCATACTACAGGGAGTACGAATCCTGAAATGCGGATCTGTGATTTCTACGTACATTTCGCTACGTCATATGTTGCCAGTGTATGTACGAACACACTTCATGGCGCTGTCACGCGCAGAATCTGTCCTTGGCAACTTTTGCCACCCTTTTCCCTTAGAAATCTGCCAACTTGGCTCACTCTTCCACTCACGCGGGACCATCACTGCAGCTACGCGGTGTCAGCGAGGGAAACTGGTTAGCGTTGCGCCCCACGTGCTACATTTGTGGCAGTACTGTACTGCAGTGGTTGTAGTGTGTTCTGAGTACTTCAGACTTGTGTTTTTGCGGAACCTGAAAAATCAGAGTGGCCATTCTCTGGGAAATATGCCTCAGACTAAAAATTTTCAGAGCCCCCAGAACATCAGACTGGATTTTTTTGAATAGTCAGCCCTGGGTAACACTGATTTTCAGTGTCGTCTAGTGTGAAACCACTGGAAAATCAGGGTTGTTAGAAATAAAACGCTGATCAATCAGGGTTTCTACAACTTCAACACTGATCAGCATAGTTGCTTTACTGGTATGCTGTCATAACACAGCGAATCAGACTGCCCTCACTTTACAATTCCCAAATTCGGCCAGGATTCTGCTATTTCCGTGTCTGATTGGTCAGAAATCTTGTCTGACCAATCGAATAGGACAATTGTTAAGAATTGTTTCTGATCTCTGGTTGTGTACTTGACTGATGATTCGGACTTGGTTCGTCACAGCAGATTCGCCCTGACGGCAAATTCGACCTCGCACAGTCGTTACGCGCTGTCGCAGCACAGCAAATTCGCCCAATCACAGCAGATTTGCCCTGACACAGCAGCAGATTCGCCCCTCACACAAGAGATTCGCCCTGTCAGAGCATGTTTCACCAGAAATCCCCTTGGTGCACGGTGCACAGTGACGGCGCGCCAAAACAAGGAGTTTTCGGTTTCAGGGTAGACCCCGATACAACACTGACTCGTCAGTGTCCTCAAACACAAAACACTGGAAAATCAGAGTTCGAAATTTAAAAACACTGAAACATCAGGGTCGTTGAAAAAAAAAGGCTGATGCATCAGGGTCATGATAAAAAACGGGGGTCAAACTTCAGGAATTCAGGGTAAAATTCCTGACATCTGAGGCCCTGTTGCAGCCTATCACAAGATTAACATTTGACACACCCCCATAGGCTAAGTTAGGGACATCAGAGCAAGCAAGGTGAACAAACGGTCACAAGACCAGTCAAGGCAAGAAGCAAAACAAGCTCAGGGTGGATCACAAGGACACCACACAAATTCCGAACGCAAGCAAGCGGCCACAAGGCCAGTTCAAGAGTTCACTAGGATATATATAGGAAAGTACAACAAGCTGAGTAAGCAACAAGACTACAGCAACCGAGGGCCTACCTCAACAAGCCCCAACTGCACACAGAACCTGTGGTGGTCACCAAGCGCCAAGGCCTTGGTGAAGACGTCTGCAGTGTTGGCCTCTGAGGCCACAAAGTCCAGGCGTGCCTGGCCGCGTCGCTGCAACTCTCGCAGGAGGAAGTACCTCACGTCAATATGCTTCACTCTGCTCTCCAGTCGAGGCTCTCGGTAGAGGAGGATCATGGCCTTGTCAGCGTACAAGGTCGGTGCAGAGCAAGGCCGCTCACCAAGGTCAGCGAGCAAGAAGGTCAACCAGCGAAGCTCCTGTGCCGCCATGGCACCAACGTATATCTCTGCCTCTGCACTGGAAGTAGCCACAGACGACGACCGTGTAGACCTCCACGACACAACATCAGCTCCCAGACTGAAGTAGTAACCCTGAGTCGAGCGCTGAGTCCCTCCAAGCACAAGCCCCATGCCTGATGTAGTCGCCAGGTACTTCGCCACCCTCACAGCAGTTGTCCAGTGGACAGGACGGTGTCTCCCAATCGCAACAAAGCGAGAAAGTATGCTGAGGGGAAAGGCGAGGTCCGGCCGAGTACAAGTCATCAGGTACATGAGGCAGCCCACCAACTCTGCGTAGGGACCACTGGACTCAAAGGGCTCGTCCGGAAAGGGGCCAGTGAGTCTGTGGTCAACATCAAAAGGTGTGGGCTGTGTGGTGGAGAACTGGAAGTCGAACCGCCGAAGGACCTGCTGCACCGTGTGTGAGTGAGTCAGTGTGATGGTGCGAGCGGCTCTGTCCCTGGTGATCTGCAGGCCACGGTAGCGCTGCAGTTCACCTAGGTCAGTGCACTTGTGTCTCTTTTGCAGTTTGGACTTCACCTGAGCCAGAGCTGCCCTGTCTGCTGTGGCAAAGACCAAGTCGTCGACGTACACTAGTATAAAGAAAGGAGTGGAACCAGTGCGAACAAACAGCGACGGGTCGGTAGAGGAAGGACGAAACCCAAGGTCACGAAGCGTGGAGCGAAAAGTGTCGTGCCACTCACGGGGCGACTGGCAGAGACCGTAGACTGGCCGCCTCAGGCTCCACTGGGTCCCAGGTGGGAAGGTGTCAGTGAAGCCAGGAGAGCGGCGCAGCCAGATCTCCTCGTGTAGTCGGCCCTGGAGAAACGCAGTGGAGAAGTCAAGGGAGTGCAACTCGTAGTCTCGCTGTGCTGCTACGTGCAGTAACACCCGAAAAGTAGTCATCTTCGGGGTCGGGGCGAAGGTCTGGAAGAAGTCAACTCCCTCACGCTGACTGAAACCCCTAGCCACGTACCGCGCCTTGAACACAGGTGGTGAACCAGGCGGCCGCTTCACCTTGAAGAGCCACATGCTATCGACTACGTTCGCCCTGGGAGGGGGAACTGCGTCGACGTAGGTGCCTGTGGATCTCCAAGACGCTAACTCTAGCCGCTTTCCACTTAGAGGCCCACGCCCCTGACACTGCCTCGCGGTAAGTATGAGGAGTCGGTATGTCAAGGGCGTCGGGGTCTCCTTCAGGGGATAGCAGCATGGCACAGACAGAGGGAGAAGCGGCTGCCAAGTGCTCCAGCTCAGACTCTCTGTCCTCTAGGACGTCACAGCCAAGGGCAAACTCACCCCCGACAGACAGAGGACGGGAGGGAGGAGCTGGCACCACACGGGTGGTGTAGTCAAGGCGGTTGGCGGCAGCAAACTCAGCGGCAGCGGCAGTGAGAGCCGAGACAGACGACGGAAGAAAACGAGAGTCGGTGATAAGAGTGGCGAGGACACTGGAGACAACAGGACGAACAGCACGGTAGTAGTCAGTGATAGGAGTAAGAGGGACAGGGAGAGAGGACGGAGGAGGAGACGGGAGAACGGACTCAGGAGGAGGATGACGAAGAGACGAACAAAGGAGGGCAGTGCGGAGGTCGGGAACGGGAGACGGGGGACAAGCACACGGAGGATAGGGACGGACACGAGAGTGTGTGACAACTGGCGGAGAAGACCGCGGTGGAGGAGACTGCGGTGGAGGAGAAGACCAGACCGCCGGACTGGCGTCAGGAGGAGGAAACGTGGGACCAAACACTGGAGGGGACGGAGTGTGAACAGGAGGAGAGGAGGGAAGACCAAGGGCCCAAAGGCCACTCACGGGTGGGAACAACTGCCGCTCCAGAGGGAGCTGCTGTGATCGCGGCTGCGGCGGCGGTGTCTGCTGCTGTGGCTGCGGCTGCTGCTGCTGCTGCTGCTGCTGCTACCGCTGCTGCTGCTGCTCCAGCAGGTCCAACCGCCGCAACTCCTGCCGCTCCCGCTCCAACAGCACCTGCTCCTCACGCTCACGCTGACGGGCCGCCTGGAGACGCGTGTCGTGGCGGTGGGGAGGCGGAGTGGACTCCGCAGACCAGTGTCTCCAGCCCCCGTCTCCTCAGAACCAGCACCTCCGGTGCCAGCGCCTCCAGCACCAGCACCCCCAGAACTAGCACCTCCAGTGCGAGCGCCTCCAGCTCCAGCACCCCCAGAACTAGCACCTCCAGTGCCAGGACCTCCAACTACAGCACCCCCAGAACTAGCACCTCTATTGTCAGCACCTCCAGCTCCAGCACCCCTTGAACGAGCACCCCCAGACCGAGCATCGTCAGTGGCTGCACCTCCAGCTCGAACACCAACCGCGTCCACAGCAACCTGTCGCGGAAGTGCCGAAGGCTGCTGAGGGGATTGTGAGGAGGACTGCAGGGAGGGAGACGCTACCTGACGCGCGACCGAGGGTAGAGGGGTAGCGTGGGACACACCAGACGGGGCAGAACCAGGGGGGGGCGGGGGTACCGGAGGAGGGGGAGCAGGTGGAGGAGAGGGTGCGAGGAAAAGGGGGGGAGGGGGAACCGGGAGACCTCGACAAGGGTACCGGGTGTAGTAGGACACTGACTCGTCGAACCGGACGTCACGGGAGTCTAGGAACTGGTGGAGGGGCGGGTGGTAAAAGGACCAGTCGGCCGAGGCTACCGGGAAACCAAGGAAGACACAGGGGACGGCGCGAGCCAAGAGCTTGTCCGCAGAGGTGTCGCGGACAAGCGCAAGGCAGCCCCAGACACGAAAAGCTAACCCAACACTAGGGGACCCGGTCCAAAGACTGGTCGGTGAAGCCTCTGGCCGCGAGACGCGCGGCTGGAGGTTCAGCTGGT